CTTGACTCAATTATCTCCATTATCTGCCGGCTTATATACTGAAAAAAAGGGCGTCTAGCAAACGCTGGGACATTCGTGAGGTTCCCCGATCCTTCTAGAGTCTCATCACGTGTTACCAGCGTCATGTGACTTCCGCTGTCATAACAGTATCTAATAAGTGATTGATTAATTGACTTCTTATGAAAAATTAAGAACTGGACAAAAAAATGGGATTAATGGTGCAATGCAGAGAGGTGAATAATAGTATTTTTCCCAATTGAGAGAATATGACTTCTGGGACCGCTATGGAGTTTGTTTTAGGCCCAATGTTTTTTCATTATTTATGTCAATAATCTATAACTGGATAGCTTTTTGGGCATTAACATTTCCTAATTTTCTGATTATATACTAAGATGCAGAAAAAAGCTGATTCTACTGAGAATATCTCTTATTCAAAAAACCTTAGTAAATGAGCCAGAATGTGGAAAATTAGTTTTAATATTTAAAGGGTAATATTTCTGTGGTATGAATATTTGGAAAGGACTTCTTATTTGAGATAAAAATTGGTGTTCTAAATGGAAAAAGAAAACGATCTATGCGTGACAGTTGATAAAGTGCTAAAGCCCTCTATTTAGTTTGCGGCTAAGGTGAAAACAACAAAATTTTCTTCTTTCTATTTCAAGAAATATTGAATTTAAGAACAAGAAGGTTGTAATTTCTTATACAAATCCACAATGAGATTTCATTTGGAGTAATGTAAGCAGAATTGATCTTTCACTACATGAAATATATTGTTACGACAGCGGAAGTCACGTGACGCTGCTGCTGGCGCGCTTGCCGCTGGTAGCGTACGTGAAATTTTTTGAATGATCATGAGTTATCGGGTAAGCCCGAGTTTGTTTGGGACGCCCTCTTTTTTTTAGTATATAAGCATGGCAGAGAGTTCCGGTAATTTACGATTCTGTTTCGAGCTAGTGTGTGTTTTCGAGATTGTGAATCGCTGTGATTTATAGCGTGTATTATAAAAGTAGTTAATTTAAAGTGATGAGAAACGTACTTATTGTGAAATTACAATGTGCTAAAAGTTTGTATCGAGAAAGAATAAACTGGTTTAACCAAGAAAGGACTTGTATCGCTGGAGTTTCTCAGAAAGAATTTCTACCGGAAATTAACAAACAAGCAGATACGTAACAATATCAAGAAGTTAGAAATATTATAGAGATGGGTTACTAGAACAATGATCAGTTTAAGAAAATTAAGCAACATATAATGAGGATTTGATATTTGTAATTTGTAGTTATTTTCCCAAGAACACAGCAAGATTAGGTGTGACCTGATTAAGACCTTTAAAACTATTCGGAGTCTTCCTATGGGAAATCTACTTAAGTATTGAAACAGAAGTTCTAGAAATGTGATTTAATCATAAATACTGACTTGTTTTATTATGTTTTGGTAAGTTTTAAACTTTCTTAATAGCTAGACTGAGGATGTGGTGTGTGCAATATTAGTCTGAAAATCCTTCAAACTTTGGTTGGATGGAAATATGGATGCAAAGTGCTACATTATTGGGGCTTCATGTTTTATTTGCAAGATTTTGAAGGTAATGTTAAGTATTTGCTCGTTTGTTAATTTCCGGTATAAATTCTTTCAGTGGAAGTTCAGCGATACAAGTCCTTTCTTAATTAAAACTAATCTCTTCTTTCTTGATACAACTTTTTAGTAATACACAGAATTTCCCCAGTCATTTTAAACTTAACAACGTTTATGACACACGCTATAAATCATAGTGATTCACACGTTTTACTTAAGGTGCCTACTGTTCGCTTGACTCAATTATCTATCTATCTATATCGCTGGCTTTCTTTGCCAGGCTTATATACTAAAAAACAGGGTGTCTAGCAAACACTTGGACATTCGCAGGATTCCTCGATAATTCGAGAAACTCCAGTGCGCATGCTCCCATCCACACACGCGACTTCCGCTGTCATAACAGTAAGTTATGACCTCACACAGGCTGAATGGTGTTCTGTTACCTTATATTTTCCTCTGTTCATTTTTCTAAATTTTTGTGTAAGTAACCAAATTAAAAGCATATAATGCATACATGCATGTGCAAAAGGGATAAAGGATTGTACCATCTAATTTGCCCCCATTATGTATAAAATATATTTAAAAGACATAAAAGCAGCCTCAGCTCCCATAAAAACGTGCAATTTATAGTGAAATTTACAAAATTTTTCTAAGAAGGCATACTTCCAGACACACCAAGTAAGATTTTCCCACTCAATTTCCTTTTTCCTCAAAGTAGAACTTTCTTACTGGTTTCTGCCTACTCCCCTGTATTGACATGTACAAAAGACTTCAGAAGAAATCAAGACATAATTAAAGTAAGCTTATGTGCAATGATTTACTGATAGTGACTACAGACTTTTCTCAAAAATGAAAATATTAAAAGCAGTTAATTACCTCCTATAACTTATGCTAAAAAGATTAAATTTTTAAAATATTTTTTTATTGTCACTGAATACAATCTTTCACATATTACAAAAAGGTGTGATGAGAAAAGGGTTATTGCTGATTTTGGTTCAGTATCTTTTTTGTATCATAGACTGTGTTTTTAATGTTGTAAGTTACATGTTAGCCAGAGGGCGCTTCATGTTAGTCCTAGAATATTCAGGAATATTAATGAACAAAGAGACTTCTCTAAATATTTAGAACAACGATTATAAGTGAGGGTAAGCCAGTCAATTAACTAAGTAGACTTACGATGAAACAGTGAAGTATCAATAACATAGAAAGAGTTGTTTTCTAGCTGGTAAAATGAATCAGTCATTATGTTTACATTTTTGGATTTGTGTTGGCTAATACGCACATTGAGTTACTCTGTACAAGTTGATTTAAAGTTAGTATACTTCAGATATTGTGAATGTTCTCATAAGTCAGCAATAAGTTACATAGCTAACAACTTAAACAAGCCTGTACTGTGCACAGAAGCGTTAACGAGGAAATACTTATTATTACGTGGACTGAACATTAAATTATTTTCAACAGATAATTTTAAATAACCAGCCAATGAAAGAACAACGTTATAACAGTACACTTTGTCAATGCTAGTAATTTTATTCCACTTAGTTCCACTCAATTGGTCCTACATGATTTAGGCCTAACGTTAGGCTAGGTAATTTTTTACGACTAAAATTTAGTAAAAATGCTAATCCGAGTAATCGACAAAAAGGACTATGCGAAAGACTATTCACGTGACTGCGCAAATAGAACCTTGCTTACCAAAATGAATAAGTGTGGTCTA